ACGGCGAGCGAGGTCATGAGGTTCATCATCACGATGCTCATGAGAACCACGAAGAGGAGAAATATTATATGCTCCGACCATTTCACGAGTCGATCGGACTCGAAAAAGACAGAGTAAAACTGCAGTTCCCCCGACATCATGACGGCCGCCTGGTACACGGACGTCGGCACGTCCGGAAACGTCCCCGGGAACAATATATGAAAACTCAGTCCGAACCCGACAACGAGGCAGATCAAGGTCGGCAAGAGGACCAAAAACGCCTTCGAAACCCTCATCAGCATCGCGATGCACAGGTTCAGCCCCGGTAACTTCCCAATGAGGATGGTCACCTCCAGCCAAACCAAAAGGACGGTGATCGCGTTGATGTGCTCGCCCACATCCCTGTCGATGAAATGGCTCCCCACCTTGTTGATGATCAGCAGCACGTCCAGCGCGATCAGCAAGAGCTCGAGCAGGTTCTCCAGTTCCGTGAAATACTCCCACTTTCGTGCGATTATTTGAATTATCTCCCGCAGGATCATGATGGTTGCTAATATAGCCACAGCCATCAACAATCCATTTGTGACTGACTTAAGCTTTGTATCGTTCGGAATCTCTTCCTCGCACTCCTCCAAGTCTCCGAGCTCTTCGATGCATTCCAGATATTCTCGGAATCGCTCATAGTAGGATTTCATGACCGCCGCGGTTGTCAGAGTCACGGCATAAACCATGTAGACAAAAAAATTAAAGTAGAAGTATCGTCGGAATTTCTTCCACTTCGCATTCAGGAAACGACTGCATACAGGATGCCGAAGTACATTCGAAGCCCCAGAGTCCATGAATGCCCAGAAAGTGTCCATTTCGAAGGAATAATCGTTGACCTTTTTCCCGATCGCGATGAACGGCGAGAGATCGAGTTCGATGGACTTCCCGCCATTGCTGGGATCCATTTCCCGGATGTTGCGATCCATCAGCTTCTCTGTGAGGAGCGGGAATTGCCTCGCGAGGGTGAGAGTGGCGTCGAGGTGGTTCAGTCGGGCCCCGAAGCGACGCAGGTGCCGAACGGACTCCTCCGCCCGGGAATTGGCCGCGAGGACGACTGGCGTATTGAAGTCGACGTCTTCGACGTTGGGATCCGCGCCGCTCCGGAGGAGGTGGATGACGATACCAGAGCCGCCGTCGCCCGATCGGCAGGCGAGGTGCAGCGCCGTCTGACCCCGGATGTCCCGATCGTCCACTCCGATTCCCCACCGTAGCAATTCCTTAAGAAAAAAAGTTTACACTTTGCCATCTTTTGAAAGCTTCCTGGTCCATATTAGATTCTACTATTGACACATTGTGAACCGAGTATCTGAGAATTGTGCCTCTGCTAGGGATGGAAATTTTTACAATAAATCCATTTCTTATTTCATTATGCAAGAGAAGTAATAACTTTTGAACTACCCTTTTTGCATACATGTTTCATAGAATAAAATACGAAGGAATGATTCCAGAATCCATTTCGAAATACGGGACCGAGAAAATGTGAAATTTCTCCCACAATGTAAATATTTCTACTTTGGCACAACAAGTTTCTGTCAATCTTGATAACATGTTCATTTTTCAATGTAATACCTTTCTTCAACTTTGCTCTAATGTTGACAAGAAACACAATTAAACGTTGAAGAGGTGTTGCCGTGTAAGGTTGCTTCAATGTTGAAATCAATATTCCTTCCAATATGTTGCGAATGTGAAGTAATCGGGTAGTGTATGAAATATGCAAGGTGCTGTTCATTTCAGAGCATCTGGGTTGGGATCGCCGAATCGGCGGTTCGGCGCGATCCAGCGTCGATTCATTGAACCGATTTTCTGTTTATATGATGTCGATATCTCCCCGTTGAAACAACAACCAAGTAAATAAGATGGAAATCAAATTTCCGCCTCCGAACGACTTCCCTAATTCGCGATGAGTTACCAAAAAGGTGAAAATATGATTCATTACGAATGACTCGCATTCTCACGATGTTGACATTTCGTGGAATCCTCGCCTTCCTCCAAGTCTCATCGCTTCAACATTCTCTCAATGGTGACACAACGTTGTTGCGCCGAAAGGTAAAATTGGCGGTTCTCATTGTGATGAAAAGGTGGAACAGAGGAAAATAAGAGATCAATTCTATCATGGATTCCGTATGTTCATAGGTCACGCATATTTAGAGAGAAATACTCATATTTAGAGTAATTTGAAGCTATTATGAAATTATTTGTGCTTCCAAGAGAGGAAATCCCGTGAAAACGGTGATGTCTTCCGCATCGTGCCAGTTATGATGTGTAGGATTTGGCGATGAGCACGTACTTTGACGATCAGAAGACATGGGCGTTTGACGGCAACAGCTGTGTGAAGGGCGGTTTCCCTCCTTTTGCTAATGGCGTCGACGTCGGCCCCCGCGTCCAAGAGGATCTTCACCAACTCGGACGTGGCTAAGGTAGATGCCGCATGGAGTGGCCGTTCATGATCCCTATACGAGAGATGTAATGATGTATTTCTCGGTCAGAAGGTTCCCCTTCAACCGGATCAAAATTTAAATACCCACTTATTTTCTGCGTTGACGTTGGCGCCGGCCTGGATGAGAACTCTCATGCAGCCGGCGTGACCCGCTGAAGCTGCGGCGTGAAGGGGCGTGTTCCCGATGGAGTTGGTCGCATTCACGTCAGCTCCCTTCTCGAGCAACAACTTTGAAAACAACACATTTTGCAGATTGGTGAAATTTTGCTATTGCAATGTTCATTCTGGCTTTCCAGTTGACAATTTTTTAAATTAAGTATTCAGTAATTAAACATATTGGCAGTATAGCCAAAGCGACTGAAACGATGTTGGGCAATTGAAGAACATTTTGGGAGAAACAATATTAAAAATAATGAGCGCCTATTCTCAAGCTGGAAATACTGCTGGAAAACGTGCCAATTTCCCGACGTTTTCTGAAAGAGGCCCATCAAATGGCCCCTCAACGGCCCTTTGCCAGCGTAAAATAGTTTTTCGATTAGAATGGAGGGGAGAAATACTTCCTCGAGAATGAAATGTAGGAGGAAGGCACAGTCTAAATTCACCTGAACTTTCGCGAGGTCGTTGCGAGAGGCAGCAAAGAACAGGAGGGTTTTCCTGCTGGACTTCTCTCTCGTGTCTGGGTGGAGTCCCTCCGCGTGCTTCGCCGCCATTTCCTTCGCTCCCAGCTCCATCAGGAATCGGATCTCGGGGCTGCCCACGATGATGTCCTTCCAAGCGGGTTTGACGTTGATCGGGTGGTGCTTGGGGCGCTCGTCGCGGTCCGGGATGCTCACGGAGACGGCGTTGTCTTCGGGGACGTTCTCGTTGGGTTCTTGCATGACGATGTATCTATCTTAGAATTTCAAAGACAGCAGGTGTCACAGGTGGATTAAGCTCTTTGAAAATGACTAAAACTAATTTTTACAATTAGAAAATAGTTCATAATTGAAGAGTTCGCTGTTAATTTGAACTCATAACTACAACTGAAGTGGCCGATGATGTCATTTCAATGAAGCTTTCCTTAAAAGCATTACATTTGCTATGTGGATTTGAATGCACCTTTAAATGGCGTATGTAAGGAGATGGAAAAATACTTCATTCCAAACTTGTCATTGTTTTCATCTACTGCATGGGACTCATGCAGTTGGTGCATTCAGGTCCGTGAAGAGGCAGGGAACTCACCTAAGAGAGGAGAAAAACAGGAGGAGTCGGCAAAGAAATGCCAGCTTCCACCACGAAGGCGGAAGAGAAGCCGACCAGCGACTTCCACCGATGGATTCTTCAATTTCACAGCGGTCGATGTGGCCGGTGCTAAGCAACTTGAGTGAAATGTCGATCGATCTCCATCGTCTATCGATCGCTGGCTCGAAAGCTTCCTTATTTGCTGTATGAGGTCCCTACCTACCGTAACCATTAACTCGACAAATCACCTGCTCCAGGCTGGCTACTGATGTCTGAAATAGAAACCGCTCATTTTTTTTAAACGAAACTCTGTTGAGCTTCTTAAGCGTAAAATCGCAAAGTCCGAGGAATTGCTTCAAATTCATTTATGAATGTCGAATCGGCGTTGTGGTCGGGGATGATAATCTTTCCTAATCCTTTTCTAATCACCCACTCCAAAATTGCATACTTTTTCTGCACAATTTGGGAGATAAATCAGTTTTTCTTTCAGCTAGTGTGAAAACTCCCGAAATTCCTTAGGAAAGAGACGCATGGATTCGTGGAGAGTTTTGTCACATTCCTCAAATTTTTCGCTTAACACATAAACAACCTCACAAAATTCGCAGAAAGAGTTAACATTAGATTGGCAAACACACTGGTTTATGACTTTCGCTTTGAAATGTATATAGTCTATTAAATATCTATTATTATCTATTAAATATCTAGAATAGTCTATTAAATGGAAGAAAAAGCTAACAATAAAATGTATTGTTCATGCTGTTTCATAAACGGTCGGGCGCAGCGCAATTGCGACCTCTCAATTCACATTGCACGCAGAATCCCTAAACCACCGGAAAAACATGAGTCACACGAAAACAGATCAGGATTATTTTTATTATTATTATTATTTTTTTTTTTGGGGGGGGGGCCCTCCCGCATCAATTCGAAAGAGAAATGGACTCGCTTGGGGTTTAGTCTTTGCAACGACAAATGAATTTGTCGCGTTGTCATCGTTGAAAAGTAGATCGCACGATAACAAGGAACATTAGAATCGACATAGCAAATCATATCGGCGACGAAAGGAACACCCAAAGTTTTTAAATTCCTTCACTTATCACAATGATGAATGCATAACAAGAAATCTAGTACTTCTCCCAAGATAGCAGAAACGGATGTCACCCATACATTTTCTTCCACCTTGCATTTAACTCAATTTTTTAATGATAAAAAATTGTGCAATCATATCCCACACAAAAAAACATTATTCCCCAAAACACAAAACTCTTAAAATATATAGTACAAGGCATTTGCTTCAGTGCAAATATTGCTAGGGCATTCTCTAACTGAAGTGATGCAACATTTGCTGGATCTGGTTCTCGATGGAGGTGAGTGTCTCTTTCGTTTTCGCATGGTGCCGGCGTCGTCTCGCCTCTTCGTCCTCCTCCTCGCGGCAGTTCTCTGTTTCCTCCTGGCGCTTCCCGTCTTGCTTGGCCACTTGAGTGAGGATTTCCTGGATCTGGTCGGCGGTGCGGGTGGGGAGATCCCGCTTTTTCTCTTGGAGCAGACCGGAGTATACGACGTCGAGGTCCCATGTGCGGGCGAAGGATCTGTAAAGCACGCAGTCGCACTTGAGAACTTTTTCCATGTGGTACAGGACGTGGACCTGTTGACTCAATCTTGCGATCTCGGCCGTTGTGCTCATATCCTGGATGGCGCTCACGGCGAGCGAGGTCATGAGGTTCATCATGACAATGCTCATGAGGACCACGAAGAGGAGAAATATTATGTGCTCCGACCATTTCACGAGTCGATCGGACTCGAAAAAGACAGAGTAAAACTGCAGCTCTCCGGACATCATGACGGCCGCTTGGTATACGGACGTCGGCACGTCCGGAAACGTCCCAGGAAACAGTATATGAAAACTCAGCCCGAAACCAACCACGAGGCAGATCAAGGTCGGCAATAGGACTAAAAACGCCTTCGACACCCTCATCAGCATCGCGATGCACAGGTTCAGCCCCGGTAACTTCCCGATGAGGATGGTCACCTCCAGCCAGACCAAGAGGACCGTGATAGCATTGATGTGCTCGCCCACGTCCCTGTCGATGAAGTGGCTCCCCACCTTGTTGATGATCAGCAGCACGTCCAGCGCAATAAGCAAGAGCTCGAGCAGGTTCTCCAGTTCAGTGAAATACTCCCACTTTCGTGCGATCATCTGAATAACCTCCCGCAGGATGATGATGGCTGCAAATATGGCCACAGCTACCAATAATCCGTTTGTGACTGGTTTCAGTTTTTTTTCGTTCGGAATCTCTTCCTCGCACTCCTCCAGGTCTCCGAGCTCTTCGATGCATTCCAGATATTCTCGGAATCGCTCGTAATAGGATTTCATGACGGCCGCAGTCGTCAGAGTCACGGCATAAACCATATAGAAAAAAAAATTAAAGTAGAAGTATCGTCTGAATTTCTTCCACTTCGCATTCTGGAAACGACTGCATACAGGATGCCGAAGTACATTCGAAGCCCCAGAGTCCATGAATGCCCAGAAAGTGTCCATTTCGAAGGAATCCTTCACCTTTTTCCCGATCGCGATGAACGGCGAGAGATCGAGTTCGATGGACTTCCCGCCCTTGCTGGAATCGCTTTCCCGAATGCTGCGGTCCATCAGCTTCTCCGTGAGGAACGGGAATTGCCTTGCGAGGGTGAGAGTGGCGTCGAGGTGGGTCAACCGGGCTCCGAAGCGACGCAGGTACCGAACGGACTCCTCCGCCCGGGAATTGGCCGCGAGGACGACTGGCGTATTGAAGTCGACGTCTTCTGCATTGGGGTCCGCGCCGCTCCGAAGGAGGTGGATGACGATACCAGAGCCTCCGTCGCCCGATCTGCAGGCGAGGTGCAGCGCCGTCTGACCCCGGATGTCCCGATCGTCCACTCCGATTCCCCACCGTAGCAATTCCTTAAGAAAAAAGTTCACACATTTGGATATTGATAAATCTGAGTACCATCTAAATTACCAAATTGATCCCAATTCTCAACATCAACCAAGTTTCAACTTTCTCTCAATGTTACTCCAACGCTATTATGCCGAACGGGACGTTGGTGGTCCTCAATGTACTGTAGAGGTCGAACCGAGGACAATAATTTTTCTTGTCACTATCAGGTTTTCCGTATGTTCATAGGCCACTCATTTGCAGAGAAAGCACTTTCTTCAAAGTATTTTGAAGGTGTTATGAAATTAATTGTTCTTCCAATTTGTTTCAACTCTCGTGAGCACTGTGTGGCCTTCCGACTCGAGCCAGTTCTGCTGTGGAGGATTTGGCGATGTGTACGTACTTTGACTATCAATAGACATGGTCGTTTGACAGCAGCCGCCGCGTGAAGAGCGGTTTCCCTCCTTTTGTTGATGGCATCGACGTCGGCCCCCGCGTCCAAGAGGATCTTCACCGGCTCGGACGTGGCCAAGGTAGATGCCGCATGGAGTGGTCTTTCATAATCCCTACACGAAGGAAATATTTGCATTTGATGCTTGGGCAGAAGATGGGCCTTCACCCGGAGGAATATTTAAATACCCACTTATTTTCTGCGTTGACGTTGGCGCCGGCCTGGATGAGAACTCTCATGCAGGCGGCGTGTCCCGCTGAAGTCGCCGCGTGAAGGGGCCTGTTCCCAATGGAGTTGGTCGCATTCACGTCCGCTCCCTTCTCGAGCAACATCTTTGAAAGCATCGATTTTGCAAGATGGTGAGCTGCTGTAATTGCGAGACTCATTCTGGCTCTGCAGTTGAGAATTTTTAGGAAATACGTTGTAGGGTAAACCGTTTAGTAGTGGACCACCCGATAGTAGTGGACCACTCCTAAGGTTTTATTCCCATAAGATGCAGAAAAAGCTTCAGTTGCAATCTTCCCTGATGTTAGCATTGAGAAGTAATGTTCCCCTCAAGGATTAGCAGAAAGCCAGCAACACCTAGGAGTCTTTGTGGTTACTAAATTGTCTCCAAGTGTTTGCATAAGTTTTCCCTTGGAATAACTTAGAGACAATATAGTCCCCACAAATAATTCCAGCCATTTCTGGCTTTCTGTTAGCCCTTGAGGGGAACAGTACTTCTTAATGCTAACATGAGGGAATATTGCAATTGAAGCTTTTTCTGCATCTTATATGAATAAAACCTTAGGAGTGGTCCACTACTATTGGGTGGTCCACTACTCCCCTGTTTACCCTATTCAATAATCGCACATATTAGCACTACAGTCAAAGCGACTAAAATGATGTTGGGCAATCGAAGAACATTTTATGAGATGGAATTGACAGTAATAAGCTTTTTATCCTGAAGCTGAAAAAACCGCTGGAAAGGGGGCTAATTTCAGGCACATTTTCTGAATGAAGCCCCTCAAATGGCCCCAGAAGGGGCCTTCGTCAGTGCACAAAAATGCTTTTTCGATTGGGAGAGAGGGGAGGAATACTTCGTTGAGAATGAAATCTAAGATGAGAAAGGCACTGTTTAAGTTTACCTGGACCTTCGCGAGGTCGTTCCGAGAGGCAGCAAGAAACAAGAGTGTTTTCCTGCTCGTTTTCTCTCTCGTGTCAGGGTGGAGTCCCTCGGCGTGCTTCGCCGCCATTTCCTTCGCTCCCAGCTCCATCAGGAATCGGATCTCGAGGCTGCCCACGAAGATGTCCTCCCATGCGGACTTGAGGTTGATCGGGTGGTGCTTGGGGCGCTCGTCGCGGTCCGGGATGCTCACGGAGACGGCGTTGTCGGCGGGGACGTTCTCGTTGGGTTCTTGCATGGTTGTATTAATATATCTTCCTTAGGGTATTAAAGGCAGAAGGTCTCACATGTGTACTGAGCCCTTTAAAAATGATTACCGATATTTTTCCCGATTTGAACAAAGGTTATAATTGAAGGTCTCGCTGTTAATATGAACTAATCACTACACTTGATGTAGTAATGATGTCATTCATCGGTAGCATAACTCTCACTCCCAAAATGTCCACCTGCCAGGTGGATTTCGATGCTCCATTGTAATATTCCCATATGTTGGAGCGCTTTCCACCCAGTTCCAGATCCACCTCCTATCCACCTGGTCGTTCAACCATGTGGATGCAGGTGGACATTTTGTTACTTTTTACGCCGCCTGATTTTTGTACTGGGACCGGGACGTTTGCCTATTGACTATTTTGCTCAGTAATGGCGCAGTATGTACAGTATATGGCGTACGTTCGTAGATGAAAGAAAACTCGTAATTGCAATTTTTCCCAAGCAAAGGTCATGATTTTCACCTACTCCATGCGATTCGCGGGGGAAAGGGGACTCACCTAAGAAAAGCAGGAGGAGCTGCCGAAGAAATGCCAGCTTCCACCACGAAGGCGGAAGAGAAGTCTGCCAGCGCCTTCCTCCGATGGATTCTTCAATTTCACAGCGGTCGATGGGGCCGCTGCTTAGCAACTTGAGTGAAAAGTCGATCGGTCTCCATCGTCTAACGACTGCTGGCTCGAAAGCCTCTCTATTTGCTGTGTGAGGTCCCAGCCAACCGTTTCCATTTTACAAGTGACCTGCTGCAGGCGACCTAATTTGGTTTGAAATGCAATTTCCTTGCCGTATTTGAAAAGAAAGTCTGGAGAACAACTACAGCAAAAAATTTAAAAAGCTGAAGACTTACGTGAAAATGAATTCCTGAATGACAAACTATGCTGTATCCTATAATAAATTCTTTGTTTCTCAAATTTCAGATTAAAACTTTTTTTTTTACATTTCGGCAGAAATCTCTCGATATATTTTGGGATTTCATCTATTTTAAATCAGCGAAAAATCTGTATATTAATTTCATTTCATGACTGAAAAAAATCCGTGGTGGTACAGGACATGCTGAATTACCTTCATTGAAATTTCCGCCTTAAATCTTCCTGAAAATGATGCAGCGCATATCCTAGAGACTGGGTTGTGCACCAACGTGAAGAAAACCTGAAATAAAATTCTGCAAATTCCAATCGAAAATTGCGTTGTCCTGATGAAGAACGATGGATATGATTAATGGTACAATTTATAATTACTACTCACTCTTGTGGAGGAGTTAATGCGTCGAGGAATCGGAGTGGACAAGCGGGACATCCGGGGTCAGACACCGCTGCACCACGCCTGCCACTTGGGCGAAGGCGGAGCAGGCGTAGTCCTCCATCGCCTCCTTCACGAGGCGGACCCCAATGCCGAAGACGTCAACTACAATACGCCCGGGACCAATGTCGTCAAATTCGAATGCTGAGGAGTCCATCAACCATCTGCTGCGGCCCAGCTGACACATCTCAACAGTACTCTCCCCGTCAACAGATTCCCTGAACTCGCTCTCTATTGTCTGGATTAGACCATCCAGAATACCAAATCAAGCACCGGAAAAGCATACAAATATAGAGTTCCTTGCCATTATAATGTAACCCCTTCCATGAATGAATGCATCTGGCCCAACCTTTCAGACGTTATTGGATATGAATGGAACATTTAACTTTTAAGGGGCCACGTAATCAGTGTATACTATCCCCATGCTGAAAAAAAGCCGATCCCGAGATATCTCCAGACTATTCACCTTAGTGAATACGAATACCCACATTCTTGAAGGGGATGACGCTACAGGCTCCATCTCTCGAGCGGCCGGATTCCACAAGATGAAGGCATTCAGTTTCTCCCTTGGTGCTTCCAAGCCCAGACACGAATCCGACCGGAATCCTCAGCCGAGAGCAAACCCCTTCCAATTCCATCGAGGGAATTTAGAGGGAATTCTCCCACGGACATGAGGGGAACCATGGTCAGACTACAGAGTCTCATCGATTCGATATCGAATTGCTCTTCGTGCAGCAAGAAAAAAATGCATTAACCCCGTGCCAAGTTAAAGATTCTCACTCTCTTGCTTCTCTTCATTTGTCATTCCTGCCTCAAAATAAAATACAAATAATAACAGTTGGCCAATTTTTTTTATGACAGTACATTGAAAGGTGAAAATTTGTTGTGAAACTTTCGGTCTTTAGGTGCATCCATTTAGAGCTCATTTTCGGAAGGGAATTTTTTTTTTTAAGGATTTCTATTTCGCTCTATCGAAGCGGGAAAATTAATTATGGTACTATTTATATTTCACCAGTATGTTCGCGGATGGGTTGTCGAGTCGACATGATGCAATCGATAACTTCTGCAAGGTCGTCCGTCTGTGAAGGGTGGATGACCTCGTCGACCTCGACGTGCGATGACCTCGATTAATCTTCTGGACGAAAATTAGACGGAAGCCGGCTCCTTTGACTTCATTTATTTGCAAATCCAGGGCACGGAAGTGTTTGCACAGGGGGGAGGAAAATGGGGCGCGGGAGTCAATATTCCATGCAACTGGAAATATGGAAAGGTTTCGCGTCTCGCGTTCCCCGGAAGGGAATGGCGATTCCGGCACGGAATTCCACCTGTCCCCCTCTGTCCCCCTCTGTCCCCCTCTATCCCCCTCTGATCGATTCGCCGACGATGTTGACGGAGGTTTCAACGGGAGCGTGCGAGGCTGACGGATGAATTTGTCGCGTTGTCATCGTTGAAAAGTAGATCGCACGATAACAAGGAAAATTAGAATCCACATAGCAAATCATATCGGCGACGAAAGGAACACCCGAAGTTTTTAAAGTCCTGCACTTATCACAATGATAAATGCATAACAAGAAATCTAGTACTTTTCCCAAGATAGCAGAAACGGATGTAACCCATACATTTTCTTCCACCTTGCATTTAACTCATTTTTTTATGATAAAAAATTGTGTAATCATTACCCACACAAAAATACATTATTCCCCAAAACACAAAACTCTTAAAATATACAGTACAAGGCATTTGTTTCAGTGCAAATATTGCTAGGGCATTCTGTAACTGAAGTGATGCAACATTTGCTGGATCTGGTTCTCGATGGAGGTGAGTGTCTCTTTCGTTTTCGCGTGGTGCCGGCGTCGTATCGCCTCTTCGTCCTCCTCCTCGCGGTAGTTCTCCGTTTCCTCCTGGCGCTTCCCGTCTTGTTTGGCCACGTGAGTGAGGATTTCCTGGATCTTTTCGGCGGTGCGGGTGGGGAGATCCCGCTTTTTCTCTCGGAGCAGGCCGGAGTATACGACGTCGAGGTCCCAGGTGCGGGCGAAGGATCTGTAAAGCACGCAGTCGCATTTGAGAACTTTTTCCATGTGGTACAGGACGTGGACCTGTTGGCTCAATCTTGCGATCTCGGCCGTTGTGCTCATATCCTGGATGGCGCTCACGGCGAGCGAGGTCATGAGGTTCATCATGACAATGCTCATGAGAACCACGAAGAGGAGAAATATTATGTGCTCTGACCATTTCACGAGTCGATCGGACTCGAAAAAGACAGAGTAAAACTGCAGCTCTCCGGACATCATGACGGCCGCTTGGTATACGGACGTCGGCACGTCCGGAAACGTCCCCGGGAACAATATATGAAAACTCAGTCCGAACCCGACAACGAGGCAGATCAAGGTCGGCAAGAGGACCAAAAACGCCTTCGACACCTTCATCAGCATCGCGATGCACAGGTTCAACCCTGGTAGCTTCCCGATGAGGATGGTCACCTCCAGCCAAACCAAGAGGACCGTGATCGCGTTGATGTGCTCGCCCACATCCCTATCGATGAAGTGGCTCCCGACCTTGTTGATGATCAGCAGCACGTCCAGCACGATCAGCAAGAGCTCGAGCAGGTTCTCCAGTTCCGTGAAATACTCCCACTTTCGTGCGATTATCTGAATTACTTCCCGCAGGATGATGATGGCTGCTATGATGGCCACAGCTATCAACAATCCGTTCGTGACTGGTTTCAGCTTTTTTTCGTTCGGAATCTCTTCCTCGCACTCCTCCAGGTCTCCGAGCTCTTCGATGCATTCCAGATATTCTCGGAATCGCTCGTAGTAGGATTTCATGACCGCCGCAGTTGTTAGCGTTACGGCATAAACCATATAGACAAAAAAATTCAAGTAGAAGTATCGTCTGAATTTCTTCCACTTCGCACTTAGGAAACGACTGCATACGGGATGCCGAAGTACATTCGAAGCCCCAGAGTCCATGAATGCCCAGAAAGTGTCCATTTCGAAGGAATCATCGACCTTCTTCCCGATCGCGATGAAAGGCGAGAGATCGAGTTCGATGGACTTCTCGCCCTTGCTGGAATCGCTTTCCCGAATGCTGCGATCCATCAGCTTCTCCGTGAGGAATGGGAATTGTCTCGCTAGGGTGAGAGTGGCGTCGAGGTGGGTCAAACGGGCCCCGAAGCGACGCAGGTGTCGAACGGACTCCTCCGCCCGGGAATTGGCCGCGAGGACGACTGGCGTATTGAAGTCGACGTCTTCGGCGTTGGGGTCCGCGCCGCTTCGGAGGAGGTGGAGGACGACACCGGAGCCGCCGTCGCCCGATCGGCAGGCGAGGTGCAGCGCCGTCTGACCCCGGATGTCCCGATCGTCCACTCCGATTCCCCAACGTAGCAATTCCTTAAGAAAAAAAGTTCAATCATTGTATATTGATAAATCTGAGTACCTTCCAGGACCATATTATTCTCTGCTACTGACACATGGTTTACAGAGTATCTAACGCTTGTTAGATACTGTCTCTGACGCTTGTCGCAACCTACAATTTCAACAATGTTGATTTTTCGTAGAATTCTCAACATCAACCAACTTTCAACTTTCTCTCAATGTTACTCCAACGCTATTATGCCGAACGGGACGTTGGTGGTCCTCAATGTACTGTAGAGGTCGAACCGAGGACAATAATTTTTCTATTCACTATCAGGTTTTCCGTATGTTCATAAGCCACTCATATTTGCAGAGAAAGCACTTCTTCAAAGTATTTTGAAGGTATTATGAAATTAATTGTTTTTCCAATTTGTTTCAACTCTCGTGAGCACTGTGTGGCCTTCCGACTCGAGCCAGTTCTGCTGTGGAGGAGTTGGCGATGTGTACGTACTTTGACTATAGATAGACATGGTCGTTTGACAGCAGCCGCCGCGTGAAGAGCGGTTTCCCTCTTTTTGTTGATGGCATCGACGTCGGCCCCCGCGTCCAAGAGGATCTTCACCGGCTCGGACGTGGCGAAGGTAGATGCCGCATGGAGTGGTCTTTCATAATCCCTACACGAAGGAAATATTTGCATTTGTTGCTTGGGCAGAAGATGGGCCTTCACCCGGAGGAATATTTAAATACCCACTTATTTTCTGCGTTGACGTTGGCGCCGGCCTGGATGAGAACTCTCATGCAGGCGGCGTGACCCGCTGAAGCCGCCGCGTGAAGGGGCGTGTTCCCGATGGAGTTGGTCGCATTCACGTCCGCTCCCTTCTCGAGCAACATCTTTGAAAGCATCGATTTTGCAGGATGGTGAGCTGCTGTAATTGCGAGACTCATTCTGGCTCTCAAGTTTAGAATTTTTAGAAAATACGTGGTAGGGTAAACCGTTTAGTAGTGGACCACCCGATAGTAATGGACCACTCCTAAGGTTTTATTCCTATAAGATGCAGAAAAAGCTTCAATTGCATCTTCCCTCATGTTAGTATTGAGAAGTAATGTTCCCCTCAAGGACTAGCAGAATACCAGCAAAATCTTGGAGTCTTTGTGGTTACTAAATTGTCTCCAAGTGTTTGCATAAGTTTTCTCTTGGAAAATCTTAGAGACAATATAGTCCCCACAAATAATTCCAGCCATTTCTGGCTTTCTGTTAGCCCTTGAGGGGAACAGTGCTTCTTAATGCTAACACGAGGGAAGATTGCAATTGAAGCTTTTTCTGCATCTTATATGAATAAAACCTTTGGAGTGGTCCACTACTCCCCTGTTTACCTTATTCAATAATCGCACATATTAGCACTACAGTCAACGCGACTGAAATGATGTTGGGCAATCGAAGAACATTTTATGAGATGGAATTGACAGTAATAAGCTTTTTATCCTGAAGCTGAAAAAACCGCTGGAAAGTGGGCTAGTTTCCGGCAAGTTTTCTGAAAGAAGCCCCTCAAATGGCCCCAGAAGGGGCCTTCGGCAGCGCACAAAAATGCTTTTTCGATTGGGAGAGAAGGGAGAAATACTTCGTTGAGAATGAAATCTAAGATGAGAAAGGCACTGTTTAAGTGTACCTGGACTTTCGCGAGGTCGTTCCGAGAGGCAGCAAGAAACAAGAGTGTTTTCCTGCTCGTTTTCTCTCTCGTGTCAGGGTGGAGTCCCTCGGCGTGCTTCGCCGCCATTTCCTTCGCTCCCAGCTCCATCAGGAATCGGATCTCGAGGCTGCCCACGAAGATGTCCTCCCATGCGGACTTGAGGTTGATCGGGTGGTGCTTGGGGCGCTCGTCGCGGTCCGGGATGCTCACGGAGACGGCGTTGTCGGCGGGGACGTTCTCGTTGGGTTCTTGCATGGTTGTATTAATATATCTTCCTTAGGGTATTAAAGGCAGAAGGTCTCACATGTGTACTGAGCCCTTTAAAAATGATTACCGATATTTTTCCCGATTTGAACAAAGGTTATAATTGAAGGTCTCGCTGTTAATATGAACTAATCACTACACTTGATGTAGTAATGATGTCATTCATCGGTAGCATAACTCTCACTCCCAAAATGTCCACCTGCCAGGTGGATTTCGATGCTCCATTGTAATATTCCCATATGTTGGAGCGCTTTCCACCCAGTTCCAGATCCACCTCCTATCCACCTGGTCGTTCAACCATGTGGATGCAGGTGGACATTTTGTTACTTTTTACGCTGCCTGATTTTTGTACTGGGACCGGGACGTTTGCCTATTGACTATTTTGCTCAGTAATGGCGCAGTATGTACAGTATATGGCGTACGTTCGTAGATGAAAGAAAACTCGTAATTGCAATTTTTCCCAAGCAAAGGTCATGATTTTCACCTACTCCATGCGATTCGCGGGGGAAAGGGGACTCACCTAAGAAAAGCAGGAGGAGCTGCCGAAGAAATGCCAGCTTCCACCACGAAGGCGGAAGAGAAGTCTGCCAGCGCCTTCCTCCGATGGATTCTTCAATTTCACAGCGGTCGATGGGGCCGCTGCTTAGCAACTTGAGTGAAAAGTCGATCGGTCTCCATCGTCTAACGACTGCTGGCTCGAAAGCCTCTCTATTTGCTGTGTGAGGTCCCAGCCAACCGTTTCCATTTTACAAGTGACCTGCTGCAGGCGACCTAATTTGGTTTGAAATGCAATTTCCTTGCCGTATTTGAAAAGAAAGTCTGGAGAACAACTACAGCAAAAAATTTAAAAAGCTGAAGACTTACGTGAAAATGAATTCCTGAATGACAAACTATGCTGTATCCTATAATAAATTCTTTGTTTCTCAAATTTCAGATTAAAACTTTTTTTTT